GCCGAGGTAGATGGGATTGGAGAGGGAGGCCAGGAGGCGGGCAAGATTTGAAGCACCAATAGAGGTTAGTGCAATGACGGCTCATGCTTGGCTTTTGCAGCTGCACTTCCAGAGGAATTTTCCAGGAGCCCTAGCCCGAGGAGGAAGGGGCAGAAGTGTACATGAGCAGACTGGACATCCCTGTAAGCAGACATGAACATCCTTGTCAGCAGACATGAACAGTCCTCAACTTTCTGGCTCCCGCATAACTGGCTGTGAGTAAGAGGTCAGTGCTTTGAATTCCTCATGTGTAGTCGCTGTAGTTTTCTTCACAGGCCGTGTGCTTCCTTGTTGGGTATGGGGCTCTGTGAGATTACAGCTGGGGAGGGGCCAGAATCTACTGTGCAGAGTGATTATTTCGGGTGCTGTTGGAAGGGGTGCTTTTTGGTTATAATGCTAAAGGTGTAATGGGGAGGGTTGAGGGCGGAGCCACGTCGTGTGGGAGAGGTGAAAAGGAGAGCCTATGAGATGTTGACTACTGAGATGGTAACTTGTTTCCCCCCCTCCGTTGCTCCCCCCGTGGGTTTCTAAGAAATGGTTCCTGCCCAGCTGTGCTTAGGAGAGACAAGGTCCCCTTTTTCAGGGGCTGCTCATTTCTCTGGCCAGGAGCGGTGCCTCTTCCGCAGCAGAGGGTTGCATCCAGGAGGATGACTCCAGGTGGTGAGTTGCTTGCCTTCCTCCCATGTTTTTCTCTCTCTTTCTCTCTTCTCTAGTACGTTGGCCAACACACACCCTCTCTCTCTGTCTCTCCTTGCCTTTCCTTGTGCTGTCTCCCTTCAGAAGACACGGGCAGGCGTGCTAGGTGTGCATCTGCAGAGGCCAGGTCTCGGGAGCCATGGAGAAGTAGGAGCGTATGAAAACCATGCAAGGCTGTGACTGTCTGTGTTTACTCGGTCTCTGTTCATCTAGTGGGGCTGATGTAGATGGGACTGGAGAGAGAGGCAGGAATGAGGCTGAAGCTCGACGCCCCAATAGAGCTCTGTGTAGTGATAGGGCTTGCTTGTCTTTCTTAGTATGCGGATGAATCGGCCAATAACCCT